AAACACACTTATCGTATGCCGTTGCAAAATGTATGCCGTTAAAAAATTACAGATGACAGTTGCGTACATATGACAAATGTGTTTCTAAGTAGAGGTGTAAAAGTAACGAAAAAAAGCGTACCCGTATGTATTCGTTACTTTAACAATTAGTACCTACTCGTTACTATAGTATCGTTACGTTACTCGTTACTTCTCATAAAAAAATCGGTTTTACTATTTTGAAATTTTTAACCGTGAGCTTATGTTATATCACAATAACATCGCAATCCATTATTCATCAATTTAATGATAAAGCAACAAATAGGTATCGAAAATTAGTATTTATAATAATACTTAAATAGCATTCTAACGATAAATCAACATAAATATAGTTTTGCTTAGAATGAAATTAAACATAACGAAAGAAAGAACTACATCAAAAATCTTTTGTTCTCAAAATAAAATTATAAAAAAATAAAAATATTTTAAACGAAATCTATCAAGATCAAGAGAACCTTTTCGATAAGCTTCAGTCAAGACGACAATAAAGTTCTCACGTCCATTTGACCGGAATAGCGTATATTTTAACGATTCCACTAATTCTTCAGTTACGCAGACAATTGTAACACAAAATCACACCAATTTTATTTCACAATATTCACTATGAACGAATTTAAGAATAATTAAAATAAGACGCCAACCGCACTCGATGAAATCCCTCCCAAAACACCAAAGTACGTTTTTAAATTCTCTGAATATGCTCGCGCATGCTTAAAATGTACGATCAGCAAATGTTTCTATACACACATCAACTGTACTTGCGTAAACTGAAACATATAGATAGTAATTTCCTTGAGAGGGCACTCTTTTCCCATTATATAAATACTACTCTTTCTAGATAGTCATACTACGAAAAATGCGAGTAACGAAATTTATTTGTGTGTAACGTTTCGTTACTCGGTACTAGATGGCGCACCCGTTACTCAGTACCGAATACATACGGTTTGCTACAGCTCTATTTCTAAGTCTTAAGTTTTCATACGTAGTTTGGATAACATAATGCGTAGCATAAGTTGCGTACGTGGGCTAAGTTTGTCCGTACTTTAGACTTAGATATAGTAAGTAGATACGTACCTAAGTAAAAATATTTACATACATAGATATATTGTGAGACTATATTTGTTTCTTAGGTTAAAAGGTAGGTCGGTCAAAATAAAAGTTTGATTCTGACGACGTAGCCTGTAAAGGCTACGAAACGTCAATAAATAAATAAAGTTTCGTGCATTAACCCGTAAAAACTAGTTTTATTTGTGAGACTATATCTATTATTATATTTATCTAAAGTTTTATAGTATGTGAATCAAAAACCGTAGTCACAAGTGTTAATGTTAATATCTTTTATTTTGTCTAAGTCTTTATCGATGCTTACATAATTTTTATTAAAAGAGTTGTAGGTACACTTTACACTTTGTATTTAACTTGTCCTAAATTACTTTAATATGATCGTAGTAAACGTGCTATTGAAATAAGCGAAACACCAAAATGTTCTTACATACAATATACAATAGTATGCTCAAAAAATACTTACGATAATTATATATTACCGACTAAGTCAATACTTTTGATTTATTTATATAGGTAATAAAGAAGCATATCCATATTCGGAAATTTTTAAATAATTTGCAAGTGCACATTTCATGAAATACATCATAAGAATTCTTTGTTTCAGTCTCTCGGCAATCATGAATTTGACGACAATGTTGAAGGGCTGACGCCCTTTATAGAAAACCTAACATCGCCAGTGCTTGCTGCTAACCTCATATTAAACAAAGTTCCAGAACTAGAAAAGCAAACTAACATTAAGAAGTCTATTATATTTGATATATCAGGTACTAAAGTAGGCGTAGTAGGTTATTTAACTCCGGAAACTAAGTTCTTAGCCAAAAGTAATAATGTTGAATATATAGATGAAATAACTTCTCTTAAGGCAGAAATAGCTAAATTGCAGAAAGAAGGCGTAAAAATTATAATAGGTTTAGGTCATTCAGGTTTTTTAAGAGATATTGAAATAGCAAAAGAAGTTGAAGGGATTGATTTAGTCATAGGTGGACACAGCAACACATTTTTATGGAACGGTAAAGTTCCAGATGCCGAAATATCTCAAGGTCCCTATCCAACGTATGTCAAACAAAAGTCTGGTAGGTCTGTCCTAGTAGTACAAGCATACGCCTACACAAAATATCTAGGTAAGTTGCATATTGTATTTAATTCTAATGGAGAAATCATTACTGTTGACGGACAACCTATCCTGCTCGATAAAACTATTCCTCAAGATCCTGAAATACTCAAAATTGTTGAAAAATATAAAGAAAAATTAAAAGGAGTAACTGACGGCATTGTAGGAAAGACACCAGTTTTGCTGGATGGTCTGAATTGTCAACATAAAGAATGCAATTTAGGCAATTTAATTACTGATGCTATATTCTATACTTACACTGAAAATTACAAAGGGCCATATTGGACGGATGTTAATGTAGCAATGATCCAAGGTGGGGGTATAAGGGCATCTATTGATCACATTGATAGGACTCTATCTAATGGTGATCTTTTGACGGTAATGCCTTTTGGAGGTTCAATCACAAAACTTAAAATAAATGGCACAACTTTATTAAAAATGTTAGAGTATTCTGTTGCTAACTACGACCTTATAGATACACCTGGCGAGTTTCTACATTTTTCCGGTTTGAGAGTAGTATACAGCTTATTGAATGAAGTTGGGAAAAGAGTTGTTAACGTAAAAATAAGATGTTCAGAGTGTAGACTTCCTGAATATTTTGATTTACAGCCAGAAAAAGAATATGCTGTTCTTCTTCCGGAGTTTCTTGCGAAGGGAGGAGATGGCTATTCAATGATCGAAAATATTTCATATGAAAAGCTTGGCTACGACGAACTTCAATGCACTGAGAATTATATAAGACGTCATAGTCCTATATTCCCGGAAGTGGAGGGCAGAATAACATTAATAACTCATCCGATGCCTAGCAAATCATCATTGTTATCACCCTCAATACCACTAGTACTTATTCCATTCTTTAGAAATAGGCTATGAAAAGAAAGCTATGAAAATGTTTAAAGCATAATCTCAACAACTTAATCAGTATTAATGAAATACATTGTGATTCTACGGTTGAATCTATTATTGTGAAAGTACCTATTGCACTATTCAGTATTGTTATTTAATATTTTATTGCCAATACATTTTTAAGTACAAATATACAAAGAAAATCTGATGTGCCTTTTTATTTAATATTATTTTACCTTTAAATTCTTTAATTTTTAATATTTTTTCAAAAGATAGACAGAAAATACAAAAGAACTTGTGTTTATTTCCAACATAATGAATCCAGAATATATCATCATTAGCTCTGAATAAAATTAAATAAATTAAATTGGAAAGGTGAAAAATCCCCGACCACCAAAAATAATCTAAAAAGTGAAAAATAAGCTATGTTAGCTCTTTGACTTTATTAAAACTACCTAATAATAATTAGACCAAGATATCTATAAGTCGGAGTCTTATCTTCTTACATCATGTATCCATAGATGAATTATTGGTCATCCTGCGATCAAGCTTAGCGAGACCAATCATTAATTTATGCATGTATCTCACAATTCTTATGTATTATCCATTTTTTATTTATTACACCTTTTCAGTTTAACTTTACTATACTATATCTCGTATTTCTTATTAGAATTTGTTGGTTAACTCATAATATACTATGTTATTTATATATTAAATATGGTTTACCCTTATCTTAATTTTTGATGAATTTTACTTTCCCTTATTTTGCAGTTCGTCGGTGCCTATTTGTAGTTGAATGTGTATATCTATTTATTTCTTTGGTTCCCCTTCTTATGTTGTGTTTGTATTTAAGTATGTTCTGAGTATTCATGTGTATTTATGCGGAAGGAGAGTTGACGTAAGTGGGAAGGATCATGAAACAAACACACTGGAGTACCATGGACGTATAAAAAAACCTTTTTTTATAAGTCCATGCTGGAGTACTCTCATATGCTGCACCAACTACAAATATGCTTACCTGTATCGCAAACATCAATGTTTCTTTTTATTTATTTAATCATTTTTAGTTCTACTATTCGAATTCGATATTGGTTCGTGCTAAGGGAACTGTACCCCCCTAGCACGAACCATTATGGAATTCCTAATATTTGCGAGTCTGAAATGTCATTGTCAAATGACTACTGATTTTTAGTTTTTGTTACGGACTTTGTGGCGCTGTTGTTTAAGTTTCTATACAAAATTCGACATTGACATTTCGCACTCGCAAACTATTTGAATTCGATAATGGTTCGTGCTAGGCGTACTGTACCCTTAGCACGAACCGATATCGAATTCGTATCGTTTGTGAGTCCGAAATGTCATTGTTAAATGTGTTCTGATTTTTAGTTCTCGTTACGTACTTTGTGCCGCTGCTGTTCAAGTTTCCATACAAAATTTGACATTGACATTTCGGTTTGCAAACTATTCGAATTCGATAATGGTTCGTGTTAAGGGCACTGAACTCAACTTTCACTAATAACGTCAGTGCAGTTACATTACCCGCTCTTTTATAGAAAATAATACGTGATGTATTTAATAAATTTGTACTGTTTTTACTCATTAAATTATAGTAAATATCTCTGTCATCATAACTATGGATTTAAAGTGTTTTCTATAAACATACATAAAACGGTAATTTTAGTTTTTTCATACCATAACTTAAAATATATAACAGATAATATTATCAATATTAATTATTTTTAGATCTTTGTCATTTATTTGCATTTGCTAGTTTACATTAAAATCAGGAGCACATTTATATTAAATACTTATAAAGAAACTGCCTAATAAACTTTGAAATGTAAGTGAAGTGTGATATAGTGGTTTTTTATTTTAATAATACATTGAATTTTAGATTATGTTTTGAAACTTTAAGCTAACTTAAACATTATCATTACAGTGTCTTGGAAATCACGAATTCGACGAAGGCATAAACGGAGTTGTGCCTTTTATAAGAAACCTTACCTCACCGATCCTAGCAGCAAACCTGATTTTAGATGCCGTTCCAGAACTCGCAAATGAAACAAATCTGCACAAATCGATTATTTTAAAAATTGGGGATACGAGAATTGGTTTGATTGGTTATTTAACACCAGAAACAAAATTTCTAGCACCAAAAAATAAAGTGGAATATGAAGATGAAGTCACCGCTATAAAACGTGAAGTGGAAATATTAAAGAAGCAAAACATTAATATTTTGATAGCTCTTGGCCATTCTGGATTCATAACAGATTTGAAAATAGCGAAAGAAGTAGATGACATAGATTTAGTTATAGGTGGGCACTCGAACACTTTCCTTTGGAACCGTAATACGACTGAAGAAAAACCAGAATTTCCCCAAGGTATGTACCCAACCATAGTTACTCAACCATCTGGCAGGAAAGCGCTTGTAGTCCAAGCTTATGCTTACACAAAATACATGGGATACTTGAATTTAATTTTTGATTCCACTGGGGAAATTGTCCAATATGACGGAGAACCTTTATTGTTAGAACAAAGTATACCTGAAGATCCGGAAATGTTAGAAAAAGTTAATCTATACCGAAAAGAAATTGACGAAATCAATAATGAATTAGTAGGAGAATCTGCAGTTGTTTTGGAGGGTTCTTGTCGACTGCAAGAATGCAATTTAGGAAACCTTATTACCGATTCGATTCTAGATTTTACCAGAGAGTTTCATCCCAAATATTTCGATGTCAACATAGCAGTGATCCAAGGCGGAAGGATTAGAACCTCCGTAGATCATCCAAATAAACCGATTAAGGTTACGAGAGGGGACTTAGTAGCAGTGTTACCATTTTCTGATATGTTAACAATAATAACATTGAATGGCACTATACTGAAGAGAGCTATGGAGCATTCAATCTCAACGTGGCGTCTCATTGACAGCACGGGACAGTTTTTACAAATGTCTGGAATGGAAGTCACTTATGATTTATCTCAGTCTCCCGGCTCAAGGTTGGTAGACTTAAAAGCGGTATGTTCGAAGTGTGGAGATTACACGCTAAAACCAGTGAACGACAATAATGAATACAAAATGTTTATGCCGTCGTTTCTAGCGGACGGCGGAGATGGATATTCCATATTCGAGAATCTCCCGAAAGACATAATTTCTTATAATGAACTAGAATGTACAATAAACTACATGCGCAAATATGGACTCGTAGAGCCGAAAGTGAGTGGTCGAATAACGATAATTAATCGTGATAAAATAAATGATATTAAAGCAAATCCTTTATTAAATAATTGTATTCGTTCAACTGTTTCTCTAGCACTCGAAATTATCTGTGTTCTAATATCATTGAACTTTTTGTAAATATTATATTTTATTCTTGTTAGTATTATATGTGTATTTCTTATTAATGCTTTGAAAAAGTAATCTAAAGTCACTAAATCCAACTACTTGGGTATTATGTGAGCAAAAACCTGTACTGTTACGTAGTTTTTTACCAGTGGTCCACCCAACAAGTTCACCTGGCGGGACTTCGGAGACTTGTCCTGACCCATGGTTCATCTGGGTGGATTAAGGAGATTTGTTTTGACCCTGGGTTTACCACGTATATATTATCATTGAAGAATAACATTAATGTTCTTATTTGTTTCTTGGAAGATTGTTTCCTTAATCATAACCTTTCTTAGCCTTACCATGTATCCTGGTACTTTGTCCAAAATAATGATTTTATAAATGTTGTATGCACATTTTTTTACAGTAGAATTTAATGTTGATTACATTTTGTTACTATCTTATTAATAGTTTAATAGAAAAGTGATAGTGGAGTAAAAAATATTTTCGGTTGTTCCATTGGTCAATGGCTAAAGGGTAAATGTTTCCATCGTCCCATTAATGGGACGTCCAACGGGACTACGGAAATGAAACGGTTGGTTGGTTGGTGGTTGTTGTTCTACGTCAGTCACTTTTTGAGTTTATCCTGGCCATACATACAGACAAACAGACAAAAATTCTAAAAACTATATTTTTGTGTTCGTTATCGATTGTAGACCACACCTCAAGTATTCTTTTAAAAAAATATTCAATGTACAGTTTTGACTTTCCTACAATTTTATTATATGTATAGATGGTTACTATAACAATTTAATCGGATAAGTTTAGTCAGATAACCATATTACTAGTTTAGGACTGTAAGACTGTAATTAATCGCTTTCGTTTAACCTATATAACTATATCTAGGGATAGTACAGTTGCGGCTATGTAACTATAATTACTGTATTATCTATTTTACTACGACATAAATAATCACAATGGTGCAGATGACACATCTATAGGTCCATCGAGACATATCTATAGGTGATGTGGTAAGTTTGACCCATTAATTGCGCAAACGAAATTAATTAGCACAGAGTACCTTATAATAACTGGAAATTAATCAGTTAGTTTTCTCAGCACCTTAATAGTGCAAGACAATTATTCGGTACAACGGGGGTTTACGCATTTGTGAAAGCAGTGACAGACAGGAGTGACGTCATCGCAACCATAGGTTCGTTTTCGCGCGAAAATTTAAATTGTCAATTTAAAACCGCATTTTTTCCGATAAATCACAATGTTTTAATTTTTTAATATATCTGTGGTTTATTCTTCATGGAATTCTTTAAAATGAAAACAAAAATAAAAATATTGCATCTTCCCTATTGTTTATGTTTATGCGACTGTCATTATGAGAAGGGATATCAAAACACGAAAGGCTGTTTATCGATAAAAGCATGGAGTTTAGAGAGTAGGAGAACGATTTTTACGTGCTAAAACAATAGCCCACCTGTCCCTAAAAATTTGTAGAATTAGAGTTCATTTTTCAGCCACCAACCGCGCTGCCGCATGCCGTCGGTAAGTAGTATCTATGAAGTTAGCTGTTTATGAGTACAAGTAGATGAAGTTAGTTGAATAATGTACAAATTTTTTTCGCGGCATTGGTCATTTCAAATTAGCGCACAACAGCCCGCTTTTATTGCGACAACTTAGCTATCGCAGCGCCTCACTTATTTTGTCCATATTTCTAGGAAACTATTTTCTACAGCGATCGTTCTCCTTATCTCTAAAACCTCCATGGATAATAGGTTGACTCGGGTGTTTTAATACCTTAATTATATGGAGTTGCATACACTATATTATCTAAAGTTAAACAAAGTAGCTAGGTAACAAAGAAGTATTTTGCAAAACTTTTCTGAAATCCCGAATGTCCCGTTTATCCTGAAGTGTACTTATTCGTATTATAGCCCCAACTGGTTCAGCCTAGGTTGAACTATTTTCCACTGTCTGCCATAGGACGAATCAGTTTAGCCTTGTCTGTACCGGTTTATCCTATCGCCTAATTGATGATTTGGTTTACCTAGTTTGTCCTAAAATCGGGTTTGGCTGGTAATACATTGTTCGAAAATTCAAAATTACGCGCCAAAGAACGAAGCATGCGGTAATAGTACATTATGATATAAGTGCGGTAAGTTAAGAATTACAACCAAGGTAGGTGAGGGCTATAAGCAGGCAGAGGCTGTAATTATCAAACCGCACGTATGTCATACGACGTTTTATAACACATTTGCGAGGAAATAATACTACCTACGTACGTACTTTATGAAAATGAATTTGCACCTTTGTTTGTTTTCCATAAGATGAAATTTTGATGCGCTTGACTGTAAGTATCTATCCGTGGATTTTTCGGGCAAGAGGCTTAGCGTAGCCTTTTTCGACTTCTGGCGGTGTCAAATTATTAAATTCGTTACTACTTGACAATATTTTCAAATCAAAACAATACAGCGAAAAGAAAATGAAATAACATTTTCACAGATCAGCGATCCGCGCGCATCCTTTTTAGGCAAAGGAACAAAAAACAGCCAGTGTTACTAATAAAGAAAATTAATATTTTTATGATTATTTTACCGATACATGGTTGTAATTTGATTTGATGAATCAAATTAAAGAATTAAATGTTTATATATTATATTTTATCTCCCAAAGTTAATTTTATTAAAAAAAAGTTGATTATCTTTCTAACATCAAAACTCTTTGCTAAGATTTAAAAAAGTATCGTTCGTTTTTAGACGGAACATAATAATCCGTGCGTTTAACTTTACACTAGCAAACCAGTGAACCAAATGTTTACCAAAAAAAAAAAAAGTATTTAATTAATTGAGAACTTTGGAGATTTTGTGTGGTTTCGTTTGAAATAGAAATCACGTGATTTCTCGAGAACCGGAAGTGCTACGTTACTCACATCCGGTTTGTAGTCTTATCAGACTATTCTCAACTTATAACTTAAACATTCTCTTTATCTATCTCTTACGGTTTGGCCGCTGAAACAGCACCACGGACGGACGGACGGACTTGTCTAATAGATAAGAGATTAGCGCACGCGTGTATAATGTGATGTGATAGATTATGATATTGAAATTGGTACAATAAGAGACGCTTTATGAGCAAATGTGTTATAATAGTTATTTATGCAACTGTTGTATAATGAGGGACTTTATCTACACCTATGATATGAAATAACAATGTACTCTGTGGATATGAATTCCCTATAAAAGATTCTTATGTTTTTACAAAATACAAATACAAAATCATATGACACTTGAATTTTACTTCGATCTTTGTCGTGTTTTAATAGTACTGACCTTAAGGATTGCTTTGGTATACTAAACTAATTTTCGATAAGGTTGTGGGTTTGATCCTTTTCATTTAACAACGTCCAATTTTAAGTTATACGCTTTAGTAGAAGCACGTGTGAATGACAACGTAAGTTTTTTGAAATTCATAATACCACGCATCAAGTAGTGAAATTTGTGGTGGTCTGATAAGCAAGCCCTTAGCGCGGAAGGGATTTAAAAGCGAAGGAGTGTAATTTATTATAAAAAGAAACGGTTCAAATTCGTATGGAGTGGAAGTGATTCTTCGGCAAACTCCAATTTTTGTGACACGTAGGTAGGTCACTTAATTGTAAATCGTTTGGCAAAAATCTAGAATTTATAATATCCCTTTTTTAAAGCAATTATTGAATTTTATTATAATATAAAATTATATTATTATTCATTGGCGAATGGCAAGTTTATTTATATATTTTTTGTTGCCAAAGCATCAAATATATTATTACTATTATTAACAGTAATAATAATTCTGTTCAGCTTTTGTTACATTATTAGGTATTTTTTCTTTCTTATTTCAAGAAAAATCAATCATAAGTTAATCAGGTCATGTCATTAATTATGATTCGGTGTCCAGCTTCCTTAGCAAATTATAAATTTTTTTAAACGATTTAAAATTAACCGGAGATAAATAAAAAGTTAAAGTATCTGTTCCTGTTCCACTTATAAAACAAGCTTTCAAATGATAAATGTTTCGTCACTGCCGGAAACATCCAAACGGATGTTATAATCGTTTTTTATGCTATTGATTGTTTTAAGGTTGGCAATAAGCTGTTTCAGAATCTTTAATTCCGGTTTTAAACATAGTTATGTTATTATCATGCAGTAATAGTAGATAAAATGTTTTACCGCACGCTAGGCGCGTAATTTTGGCCTTTCGATCAATGTTCCCTAAATGTATTTTTTGAGCAAATAGATTTGAAAATAACTATAACGATACAGCTAGCAGTACTGTAATGAGTTGCGAGAGTACCGATACCCACATTCGTGTATTGATACCCCTCATTATACAACAGAGGCCCAAACACGAGTTTTTAGCAGCTCTGTAACGTAACGCAATGTCAAAGATTCTTTAAAAACTCCGCAACATCCGTTTCGTACGTAAGAACAGTACCCCTAACACGAACCAATATCGAATTCGTATCGTTTGCGAGTCCCAAATGTCATTGTCAAATGTGTACTGATTTTTAATTCTCGTTACGTAATTTGTGCCGCTGCGTAAATTGTTCAAGTTTCCGTACAAAATTTGACATTGACATTTCGGTTTGCAAACTATTCGAATTCGATAATGGTTCGTGCTAAGCACTGACTAGCTTTTTCTATACACAATATGACGATTAATCGAATATTTCGATATGAGTGTAGATAAAACAATTTTCACAATGACCACTCATAGGCTGGGTTACTTTATTTAAGTATGTATATTTATGTAAATATCAAATTATCAATTGTTAATGTGATTGTAATGTTTCTCAAGCGTTTTATATCTGGGGTTCCAAAACTCTACTCGCTCGGGACAATGTCACTTGTACAAGTTATGTAAAACCATAAAGCTACGTAGACTGCATAAGAATATTTTTATACCATACCATAATACCACAATAATTGTGATAATACATAGGATAGGTATACCTGTTCAAAGTATTAACTACGAAACAAATATGTATTTACTATACTTAGTTAAGTAATTTAGTAAAAAAAACTAATAAATAGGTAATAAACTTGTTGAATTGTTCAAAGGAGATTGCTCAGCTTCCATACATGTTTAGCCTAAAGACCAATAATCATGAAAAATTGTTTCCTAGATTCGAAATTATATATAAATTACTGTAGAAACGAATATTATTGACGGACACTCCTAAGAACTTCTATAAACCATATACACTGAACATATTTAAATAATAAAAAGCAAATAAGTTATATAGTAAACTAGGGAAATCAAGCCAAGTACCGAAATTATGGATTAGATTCAGGTATATAGAGCATATAGATTAACAGATAGTTGCCTGTTTTTAAAGTTAATGCATAAGAGTAATTTTTAAAATCAGGTGTCATCTATGCATTTCCGGTTATAATAAGGTACTCTGTGACAGAAACTGTGTGATATTGTGAATGAGCCACAGATTAGGGAGAATTTTTAAACTCTCGTTAACCAAAGAAAGCTAAGAGATTTAGGTTATATAGCCATATATTCAGTAGCTTCATTATTTTTGTTATGTTTTTAATATAACCATATTTTAGATTTTTAGTGTATCACACCTTATAATTTTATTTATTTATTAATTTATAGTCAGGCAACGTAGGCCCGTAGATACCTTAAAGTCTAAACAGATTATAATGTGTTTATGGAGGTGTTTGGCGAAAAATGTATGGCAATAGACTTTAAGATGTCACCTACTATATAAAATAATTGTCTGAGCACATTTGCATGTAGTGATAATGATATAGTTGCGCATATAATACCACAGTGTAATAAAAAAATGATTTATTTTATCGATCTTTACAAAATAGATTTGTTTTATGTTATATAAACAACTTCGATCAGTCTTTGGCTGAATGTTACTACACCCATAGCCATTAAAAATGATTCGAATGTTTTCCAAACTGGTAAAATTAAAAGTCCTTTTTAAAGTAAATATATTAAACAAAGGTGTCCGTTGAAATCTAATGACTGTAAATTAAATTATAAATTACGCCAAGAATTACCGTGTATGTCAATATTTTTTGTGTATTTGGGCAAATTTGAGCAATCTCCTTTTAACTTATTTGTCATTAATTTAACTTAATATGAATGGACTTTAGCTGATATTTAAATAGAAATACCTCAAATAACTTTACCTGCTTATTGGAGCAGGAAACAAACAGAAACAAACAATGTATTTTTGAATTATTTCTTTGTTTACTCAATCCTGTTCATAATAATTGCGATATCCCAGGAGTACATATACCTCTACGCGGAAGAATCCCTAAACGGGGACCCCGCGGTTTCGCACTTAACAGCTTAGAGGGTATTCGCAGGGTTTTTATCGGTTATTATGCCGTAAAGCTCCCGTAAGAGTTACGAGGTCCTCAGTGGGTAGCCACTGCGGGGGATCGTAATTCTTGCGGAAGTCAGGTGTGAGGTCCGTTCGGCGGTGTGCCTCTTAAAGGCGCCGTCGTATGTAAACAGAGGTTAGGTCTGCGTCACAAAAAAAGAGGTACATTTACCTTAGAACCAAAAGGGCTATAGTCCAGGGCGACAGGCTGCGAAGGGCGGCTGCAAAAAGCTGTGAAAGGCAGAAACCATGTAAAGGCATTCCTACCTGAACTAATAATATACCTTCATTTAAAAGTCCCATTTTTGTTTAAAAATAAATACACATAATAATAAAATAAATATTTTCAACACACACACCAATTAGCCTAGCCCCAACCAAAGTAAGCACTGCAGGCTTATCTTGCTTGGCAGGGATACTAGAGTAACGGATAGAATACATATACTGATACATAAATAAGTATATTTATATAGAAATACATATTAAACATCAATGACTGGAGTTCAAATGCTCGTATTCATCACACAAACATCTGCCCCCACCGGGATTCGAACCCGGGACCTCCAGAGTAGGCGACACCTTGAAATCCGACGTCCAAACCACTCGGCAACAGGTCGTCAAATGGATTAGCAACCTGTAATTTTAAATATGGAAGAGCGGAGTCACCTGTCACAGACATTATTTGCTTAATAGGTGGCTTCAATCACTTGTATAGAATATAACCAAACCAATTTTACAGATATTAAATTATTATTATTACTATTATTCGTTACTGGCCTATATTTTCATTTGATTTACAAATTCTAGGGGGGATGCAAATTGACGACCTCCGTGGCCGAGTGGTATTTACGCCGACTTTCAAGGTGTCGCCAACTCGTGAGGTCTCGCGTTCGAATGCCGGTGGGGGCAAATGTTAGTATGATAAATACGAGCATTTGTAGCTTAATTATGGATGTTTATATATAATTCAATATAAATATACTTATATATGTATTCTAGCATCCTATAACACAAGCCTTACAGTTCTTACTTTGAGGCTAGGCTAATTGGTGTGTTAGTATCCTACCTTAACTTATAGCACTTCAGAACATAGAAAGAGGTCCAATTGTAGTCATTAGTAATTAATTCCATGAAAACAATATTTGTGTCGGAAATTGGATAAAATACATATAATCAATCCAAATACATATAATGTTAAAGCTGTAGATGTGATTGAGCCGGCGACATTTGTTCCCTTATAAAACCCCTTTCTGTGTTCTGCGACTAAGGCCTGTAATACAGGATATCGACATATAGGTCAATGTCGACTCTGAGGGCGATCTTGAGATGCTGTTTTCTATGAAAACAGCACAGAGTCGTAGCCAAAGGGGGCCTTATGCGGTAATGAGGCAGCAGGCTGCGAAGACAGGACGCTCTTGTTTGTGCCTAAAATTCAAGTGTTGATAAACTTTAGGTAGGTATACAGTTTAATTTAAAAATGATGATGTTGGTTTAACTGGACGACTGCTTGCCCCCGTATGCAAAAGCCTTAGCTAAATGAAAAAAAAAGCGAGTGTGCTTAAAACCACACGACTGATGTGAAACTTCTTTAGCTCCAATGATCTGAAAATCAAAACTTAACCTGAAGATTTGTTGGTAGAAAAAACCACTAACCCGCGCTGGGTTCGTTATCACTAGGGATGCAAAGTCTTTTGAAATATCGATATTTATATCGAAGTCAGGAAATATCGATATCCGATATATCGACCATTTTAACTCGATATTATCGATATATCGATATTTTTTCCTTTTTATTTTTTATTGACATTAGAATACGGGGTGAGTATGACACATTCATATGTTTGTTGGCGAGTTTCTCGCAAAATGCATTGAGCCAGCTTTTTCGTTAAATACGCTTGATGAAATCGCGCCAAGCAGGATTTTTTTTCTATTGGCTCGCACGGTTTGTGTTACAGCCACGACAGGAAACCAAAAAAATAAAATTATTATCCTGATCAGATCACTCACATACGTTAGCACGCCAACCCGCATATGTGGGACGACATTTGCGAATGCCTTCGCTAAGTTTTCACATTCGTGCTTTTCCAAGCTATGTCGGTTTTTTTAGCGCACATCAAATACGCAAATTGCTTAGTCTTCCACACATCAGGGGCGTGCCCATGGCTTCAGAATAGGGTAAGCCCAAAGCTTCCAAAATTACTATACCTATCTTAATTACTTGATTTGGCGAGCTTAAAAAATTTACGATTTGAATAAGATTCTTAATTTTATTTTGTGTTGTATTACAATGATATTAAATTTCAATTTATCAGTAGTTGACAATTATCTAGAAAGAGAGGCAAGGATTTTATTTAAGTGCATGAGTTACCATTAGGTATACGATTATACCTATATACGTTGGTGTCGATTCTGGCATGATTATCTAAACTTAAAGCTAAATTTAATATCAGTCTTTCCTTTTCATTTTGTGTAGAGAATTACAAGGATACACTATTGTCAAATTTAATTTTTGGGTTTAGAGAATCATGCCAGAATCCACACCAGTTTAGTATATTTCTTGGGGTTCAAGATTTTTTTTAATACATCTATAAGCTCTTGCGATTTCAAAGCAATTATTTCGATATTATTCAATTTAGATAGTGATTGCAGGTAAATTAATTGATACCATTGTGTTCAAATTTAGTCTACGAAATATCGATATTTTGGAATTTCCGATATCGATATTATCGATATCAGTGAATTTTAAATATCGATATAAATATCGATATTTTGGTCTCGATATTATCGATATTCCGATATATCGTTGCAACCCTAGTTATCACCCTCCAATCCGCGCTGGGTCTGTTATCACACACCAATCTGCGCTGGGTCCGTTATCACCCACCAATCCGCGCTGGGTCCGTTATCGCCCACCAATCCGCGCTGGGTCCGTTGTCATGCGCCAATCCGCACTGAGTCCGCTATCACCCACCAATCCGCGCAGGATGCGTTATCACCCACCAAGCACTAGATTAATGTATTTTGTGGCGGGTATTGTTCATTGTTTACCGTTGAGTCACCGGTGACACTAATCGTAACGCGAAATCGTAACACATTCGCCAGTTTACCCCCCTAAAGAAGCGTGCCTAAAGAAGTTTCAGTTCCAAAAACCGTTAATAACATTCTAAGGTCCGTCGTCTATGATAAGTCCATCTCAGCCTCTCCAAGTTTTTAAAGGTGGCGTTTTTGATCAGTGATAGGTAGTACGTAGAAAACTACGTAGGTACTCGGGACGTTACCAACTCGCCTATTATGTTTGTTTGCGCCAAAGTCACCTAATACACAAGCCTGGGGCCTGAAACGACGACTAAACAAACAACACTAGCAAGTATCCATCCATACTATTACTATTAATGCCAAAGTGTTACATCTCCAGGCTGAAACCGCTAAACCGATTACTCAGATTCCATACATGTTTGGCCTAAAGAGCAATAATCATGAAAAATTGTTTCCTAGATTCGAAATTATATATAAATTACTGTAGAAACGAATATTATTGACGGACACCCTTGAGAACTTCTATAAACTATATACACTGAACATATTAAAATAATAAAAAACAAATAAGTTCTATAGAAAGCTAGGGAAATCAAGCCAAGTACCGAAATTATGGATTAGATTCAGGTATATAGAGCATGTAGATTAACAGATAGTTGCCTGTTTTTAAAGTTAATGCATAAGAGTAATTTTTAAAATCAGGTGTCATTTCCGGTTATAATAAGGTAGGTACTCTGTGACAGAAACTGTGTGATGATTGTGAATGAGCCACAGATTAGAGAGAATTTTTAAACTCTCGTTAACCAAATAAAGCTAAGAGATTTAGGTTCTATAGCCATATATTCAGTAGCTTCATTATTTTTATTATGTTTTTAAATAACCATATTTTAGATTTTTAGTGTATCACACCTTATAATTTTATTTATTTATTAATTTATAGTCAAGCAACGTAGGCCCATAGATAGATACCTTCAAGTCTAACATATATACAGATTATAATGTGTTTATGGAGGTGTTTGGCGAAAAATGTATGGTAATAGACTTTATAATGTCGCCTACCATCTATAATAATTGTCTAAGCACATTTGCATCTAGTGAAAGTGATAAATAGTTGTGGATATTAATACAGTGTAATAAAAAAAATGATTTATTTCATCGATCTTTACATAATAGATTTGTTTTTATTGATAAATAAACAACTTCGATCAGTCTTTGGCTGAATGTTACTACACCCATAGCCATTAAAAGTGAGTCGTATGTTTTCCAAACCGGTAAAATTAAAAGTCCTTTTTAAAGTAAATATAATATACAAAGGTGTCCGTTGAAATCTAATGACTGTAAATGAAATTATAAATTACGCCAAGAATTACCGTGTATGACAATATTTTTTGTGCATTTAGGCCAATTTGAGCAATCGCCTTTGGTATAGATATAGTTAGAGTCTTGGGAAATGACATAGGATAGTTTTTAATTAAAAAAATATTCTTTAAGAGGGTGAAAAAGGGGGTTGCAATTTGTATGGAAAACCAAATTTTTCTCGTAGACGAAATCGCGGCTTGCTGCTAGTAGTTTTTTCTTTTGTTTCACTAGGAGGGTTGCATTGTATTTATGTAAGAGGCCACGAGAACCATAGTATAACTATTTTTTTTTACAATATTGAGTTTTGATTTTTTCCAGTTCAAATTGATCATTTTGATAGAACCAGAGTGGTCTAAAAGAGATACAACGAATATTCACTACATCGCAGCATAAGCACTGTTACGGTTTTTAGTCTGTGATCTATATTTGAGGTGCCATACTGACCTAAGTAAGATAGGCCACTATGGTTAAAAAATGAGTTAGGCCACTATGATTCTCATGGCCTCGTATCATCATTAGTAGCGAGTAAGGAAACTAAAAACATGCTGCTTGCAGGTATAAACACAATGGGGCAGGATTCAAACGGGTGTAGTCAGATAACTATATAAAGAGTGACGTCAGTGCATAATTGGTAAAAGCTGTGTAACATTGAAAACAACAGCTACTCTTCAACATTAGGCATTTTGCAAAACTAAGTGCATTCTTCTGCATGTAAGAAGATTGGTAGGGTGATCAACAACAGTTATTAAAAAATATGCTGTATTATAATATATTGTTATTAAAGTTGCAAACAGATATTAGACATTACTTACATTTAACAAAACAACTATTAGACGATTTCCGTATGCCGACACTTCACTTGGTGTTTCATATTTACTATTTGTAAACTTGACAACAGTATCTCCTTTTCTCACCATAAAGGAGAATGACAAGGACGACCTGCTGGCAAAATGACAAATAGCAAATACGAATAAAAAAGTGAAGTACTGGCATAACGCGTAAAGTATTTCTATCAAGTTTTTCACAAGTATTGAAACTTGGGACGTTACAAGGCTGCATGTTTACAGAACTCAATATATTTACAGTCAAACAAGAGATCCGTAAACGACATAACTTCAAAAGATCCGAATAATTAAACAGGGGCATTACTACTCGTGCAGCGGGCAACGAAAGATTGCTACGGTCTTTGATTATATACACGCCTAAACACCGTATTTACTGCAGAAGCGCTCTCGTAAATATCTACTACATATGGTAGATAAGCTCGTCGCTACACACGCACACATTGACTGCTTTCAGACAATCTGACATTGATCACGCACACATAGCGCGTAACGTGAACCGATTTCTTCGTGTGCTTTATTTGGATTGCTCTGTATAGGCGTGTATATAATCAAAGACTACGGTAGAAGAATGTTTATTTCATGAACGTTTAGTCGTCAATATAAAAGACTAAAAATTACCAGATCAAATCAATGTTGTCTAGCAGTACAAAATATACCTAATAGGAACGATTTTCAGGAACTATTTTTTTTATAGGTTGCTTCAGAAGCAATGCCACATTCCCTTTATCTTATGACTTTTTGATAATAATATTTTTTATTATTTTTAAAGCATGTAACTGCTTGATGTTTAAATCTAAAGAAAATATACTATATATATATAGAGTCCCGTCTGCTGCCTGGTCCGCGTGGATTTTTTTTTCTAGTTATATTTTCTTTTGATAATAATGTTTATATATTAATATTCTTATATATGAATATTATATATTCTTTCAAATTTACAATAAAAGTCCCACAGAGAGCTTCCACAACATAAACTACATCACCTCAAACCACATAATGAGAATATGAATTCTATTACTAGCACAATATGGATTAAATTTCAACTGGCCGTTACATGATCGTTCTATAAATATGTTAAAATTAAAAAAGTAGGTACCAAAGTACTGACTGTAATCAGTATAAACAACAAAAGGAATTAATTTCCTTGATAACATTATTTAAAAAATCTAAAGTATTACAAAAATAACATTATCTCTTATAGTTTAAATATATTCCAATTTGTCTCTTAACAACTATTAGATTCAATAAGGCACGAAATATGATAACAATTTTTTAATCTTAAACCTTAAAGTTAAATAAAAGATATTTTAATTGTGTTTTATGGCCGAAACAGACTTTTGAATGGCGACGCCACGCGACGCGTATTTCCGCGGCGTCGGGTACCGTCGCGTATTAACGGCCTTAACATTTTGGAGGTACTGCTTTCCAGTCTACTAGTTGACTATAACCATAAGGCACAACGCCGAAGAATATCTCCAGGCACTGTTTCAAGGACTCTTGACAATCAGCTAACTCTGTACATGGTGCATACGATTCTAAGTTCTCTGCGAGTTCACATAAAGGCTTAAATATTTTTTCTGCAGTTGCTCTGTCTGCTTTCTGGAGTTTATCTATTGCGTTTCCATCGAGGAGTTTCTCCTTTTGAATCTTCAATTTTCTTGGCAAGTTTTTAGCAGGTCTCGTGAATAGGTACTGTGGCCAGTTGTTTATGCAAGCCTCACAATGACATGTGAATTTGTACTGAAACTTGAGGTGATGAATACGAGTATAAAGGTCTTCTATTGCGTGATGCGCTCTGAAAAATATAATTATTCAATAAAAATGTCATTTAATAACTAATTCAGTCACCTTGTCACCTTTGCTAGCTAACTAGCCAACAGAAAATAAAGATACAGAATAGGAGCGCCCGACTGGGGTAGTAATTTAGACCTTGCAGAGGATCCCTGATTGTAGTGAGAAATTCTCCACAGTGAAATAACACTACATTTTGGTGGTTCTGTGTATCTGGTGAGAAAGGTATCTGGGCTTTAGGAGGTAGTGGGTGGGGGGGCCATTGTAGACAATGGCGCGAGTGATATTTTGGTATCGCAAGCGTCTGTAGGCTATGGCGATCGATTACCATCAAGCAGGCCATTTAATTTCCCCACTGCTTGGGCACAGGCTTTCCCCACTATATCAGTATATGGGGCATTCCACGCGAAGCGGACAGGTAAAAAAACTCGATGTTTCCGATTTCAGTAATATTTGAGTATGTTCTACTTATACTTATTATTGATACGTGTACTAAATATTTTTGTGATATAATGACTAGTTAAAGAGTAATGGGACTTTGAAGTTTTCGACAACCGGTTGGCATGCAGTACTTCAAAGCCGATTATGGACTCATAAAATTATATATTAAAATAACTAAACCACTGGATTTCCTACTTTATTTACTGGGCTTTTTAACTGTGTTTTTGAAAAAGACAAAAAAAATTAATTTTCGTAAAAAAAACCCAATTTAAGTTTTTTTCCTTGATTTTCACCAAGTTAGACCATTTAGTTTTTTTTTATTTTTTTTATATAAATTGCTAATATTGTGTAGAACATTGGTGCCAACTTTTATAATGGGCGTGAAATTGGATTAGGAGCTAGACTGAAAATACTGCCGAAGGGTGGCGTCCAGCGCCGCGCCTGTTGACCGCCGCTTGTGCGCGATTAGTCATCAAACTGTATATCAAATAAAATCACTTTGGACGGAATGTTTTGTAGATTTTTAATAAAACCAATACATAGAAAAAAATCCACGCGGACCAGGCAGCAAGCGGAACTCGAACCCGCACCCTTCGCAATCCGGGCGAATGCACTGACCAATTATGCTACTGCGGCCCTCACGGACCGCGTCGAAATTCCTCTAGCCATTCTTATTAAGAATTAATCTTAAATATTAAAATTAATCATACTGGGGGGGGGGGGGGGGTCGGAAAAAGCTGATTTTAGCGTGACGTATTTTATGAACGGCCCCTAATATAACATTTTGGATTACCTATAATGCGAAGAGATGGCGCTGCCTTGGTGCTTAAGAATGGCTAGAGGAATTTTGAGGCGGTCCGTGAGGGTCGCGGTAGCATAATTGGTCAGTGCATTCGCCCGGATTGCGAAGGGTGCGGGTTCGAGTCCCGTTTGCTGCCTGGTCTGCTTGGATTTTTTTCTATGTATTGGTTTTATTAAAAATCTAGAAAACATTCCGTCCAAAGTGATTTTATTTGATACTAGTGACCCGCCCTCGCTTCGCTTCGGTGTAGAGCTGTAGTATAAACTATAGTTTTTGTTCTCAGGCTTGTGCTATAAACAATGACTTTATTTATATAATTACACGTGTTATTGTGAGTCAACCATAAAAGATAGACATATGCTGTTGCGGGATATTTTTTAGACAATTTTATGTAGAATATTTTCGTCATACATGATTTCTATGTAACTTTAACCATTAAGGCTGCACACGCGACGGAAGCTTAAAAAATGGAGTAACTTCTCCCGTTTTCCCAACATTTCCCTTCACTACTCTACTGCTATTGATTGTAGCGTGATGAAAAGTATACTATAACCTGCCCAGGAGTATGAAGAATAATTGTACCAAGTTTGGTTAAAATCCGTCGAGTAGTTTTTGTTTCTATAAGGAACATACACACAGACAGACAGACAGACAGACAGACAAAAATTTTACTGATTGCATTTTTGGCATCAGTATCGATCACTAATCACCCCCTGATAGTTATTTTGAAAATATATTTCATGTACAGAATTGACCTCTCTACAGATTTATTATAAGTATAGATACAGTTTGATGACTAATCGCGCACAAGCGGCGGTCAACAGGCGCGGCGCTGGACGCCACCCTTCGGCAGTATTTTCAGTCTAGCTCCTAATCCAATTTCACGCCCATTATAAAAGTTGGCACCAATGTTCTACACAATATTAGCAATTTATATAAAAAAAATAAAAAAAAACTAAATGGTCTAACTTGGTGAAAATCAAGGAAAAAAACTTAAATTGGTTTTTTTTTACGAAAAAAAATTTTTTTTGTCTTTTCCAAAAACACAGTTAAAAAGCCCAGTAAATAAAGTAGGAAATCCAGTGGTTTAGTTATTTTAATATATAATTTTATGAGTCCATAATCGGCTTTGAAGTACTGCATGCCAACCGGTTGTCGAAAACTTCAAAGTCCCATTACTCTTTAACTAGTCATTATATCACAAAAATATTTAGTACACGTATCAATAATAAGTATAAGTAGAACATACTCAAATATTACTGAAATCGGAAACATCGAGTTTTTTTACCTGTCCGCTTCACGTGGAATGCTCCATATATGAGGATAATGAGATATAACGTGTTAACGTTACGTAACGATTTCTAAAACAATCAGCAGCGCGTGGTCTTCTTACTAGGCAACAATTACAATATAAAATTACGAAAATTTAGTATACTTACTTAGTTTAAAAAATACACATGATATTAGGTATGGGGGCACGGGTAGTGTAAAACATCATCATATATCACCAGAAAGAGGGTTAAAATGTACTAGAAAACAACACGTGAATAATGGACGACCCACTACTGCATGAGCCATGATTTAGTTATTTTCCCTTGCCCAACCTTTCACTTTAATACATTTTACATTGCCAGCAACTCACAGATTTCCTGCCATGCCATGATTTCAATATGAGTGGATTATATAATGACACTTAACAGCAGACAGATTTGGAATTTTGGAGGCCCCTTAAAAAATATCTCAACAATACATCAGTAGCTCCTGATGTGAAAATGTCTAAATTATGTTTTTATTTTTTATATATAAAGAAAAGTTTTACTAGAAAAAAATCCACGCAGACCAGGCAGCGGACGGGACTCTAAACCCGCACCCTTCGCAATCCGGGCGAATGCACTGACCAATTATGCTACCACGGCCCCGAATGGCCGCGTCAAAATTTTTCCTAGCCTTAAGCTGCAAGGCAGCGCCATCTCTTCGCATTGTAGGCAACCCACAATGTACGCGTGGATTTAAATGTCTGAATTGTTATCTTATGTTATGGCTATACCACCTTTTTTTCCTATATACAATAGTTGACAGCAGACAAATGTGCTACTCCCATCCTCACCTTGCTAGTTTGAAGGAGCTGCAACAGATCCTTACCTAAAGCTATCTAGTACTTACATAGTGTATTAACTTACCCATAGTTATCAAATAACTGCATTCCTTTTTTAATGGGTCTCAGTGCAAACAGGAACATCTGTCCGGTGCCCAACTTTGAGAATCTCACAACATTAGGGGCACAAGAATGATTTATGAGACTGAGGAAAGCATAAGGTGCACTTGCAATACTAAACTCATCTACAAAGTTACCCTCAATGTTTGCTGTATTTGTACTGATACCATGCATATTTGTTGGGCTAGTCATTGTGTGGTGTAGCAACAGACCTCCTACTAATTTCTTAATTTTATCAGTCTCATCTTTATTGTCACCGTTCAAAAAGTCAGTCTTTTCGATGAGCATATAAAGGAAAACTGCAGCAGTAACTGACTTCTGAAATATATCAGAAACAGATCTTTTGTCAATGTTTGAAGCTAATGTGTGAATAGAACTGTAATACTGGGAGTCATACACCCATTTGTCATCAATTTTCATATGGCCTCTATATTCTGTGTCAGAATTATTGTCTGCATCTTCCACTGTTTTGAATAAAGCACTCCAATCAGTATGATCATTACGACATTTTATGACCGTCCTTAGAGCCAAAAATTCCAATTTAGTAAATTGCATTTCAATTATAGTGGCCATCAATTTGCATTCTGTCATATGATAATCACTCCAAGCTTTATCTTTACATTCATTGCTGCAATAAAGAGCAAAGCAGCAATTTGAACATGGAAACAAGTTTGAATCCCTCGACAGACAATAACTGCAAGCGAACAAGTATTGAGACTTCAATAAAAGCTTAAAGTATGGCTCTTCTTGAACCAATACTTCACCAACTTTGATATCAGATTTAGCAATCACATGTCTTCCCATTTCTTCTGTAAAAATAACTTCAAGTTTAGAGCTTGCACTCGGAAATCTAGGTGTTTGTGGATCTTGTAAACATAAAAAACTGCAATCATCAACTTCTTTCATTACATTTCCTCCAGATAGCTTTTGACACGATTCTTTCCTTTTGGTTAACTTTTCCTTTAAATTTGCGGGATAATTCAATGATAACACTTTTTCAATATCATTAATAGATTCATTATATTTTTTTAATGAATATAACACTGCAGATCTGTTGGATATTGCTAAAGCATAGCTCTCAGTATTGCAAGGAGCGTGGAGTAAAGACAAATTATAAAATTGCCATGCCTTATAATGATCAGAGTTTTGAAAACACTTGTTGCCAAGGTTACGGTAATATGCAGACACACACTCGTTCTTTGCAACATCTACAATGGCAGGAAAGGCTTTTAAGTTCTCCAGTATTTCATAAACATACAGAACTCTATCTTCATTCGTTTTCAATGTTAACAGTTTTAGTGATATTGGAACTATCTTGTTTTGAGCAGTAAGTTTGGCTATAGCGCCTTCATAAAGAGAATCAATGCTCATATTGGAATCTGTTTGAAAACTATCGATTATTTCACGATGTCACACTTTGCGACGCCTTTTTTAATAGTCAATCTAGGGTGTGAAATGGTGTACGTTATCGACCAGAGGCTGAAGGCCCAGAATATTACATTGGACAAGTCAGAGAGAGGTTAGTATATTGTAAATCTGAAAAAAATATATAAGTATATTACTAAGAAATAACTGTCGCTGTAGTAAAATAAAATTAAACACTATTTTCAGTACTCACAGATATAGTAACCGTTCTTCTTCATCCCAAACTCCTGGACGAGTTATTTATACCTCAACCGGTAGCCACACACGTCGTTATAAAGCAACTGCTTCAAGATATTTCTGCCACTTCTATTATGAAACTGGACGACTATTCCATGGCGAAACTATGGGACCTAATGACTATGATATTCAAATGGCAATTATCGGTAGCAACAAATATAAACATTTTTGACATTAGCCGCCGACACTTAAAAAGTGTGGCCACGATTATGCCAGCATATTTCCCTAAATGTATAATTGAACAAGCCATGAGAAGATTTGAATCTTTAGCACAAAAATTCACTGATGATGATTACAATTCGCTTAAGAATACTTTGATATTATGGTTATCCGAATATCATACGAAAATATCAGTGTTACTGAGACTTGGCCTCCAGAAAAAAGATGGCACGTTCTCTTTACCGGCATCAATAAATCCTAGAATATTGCAAAGCTTAGGAGAAAATATTTATGTGTATGATCAAAAGAAAAATCCAGTTGATGAGTGCGCTGATACTAACGAAATAAGCTGCCTTCTTGGAACTATAGACCAAACACCGACAACGCAAAATATAATACACTTACCTATTGATTTTGGCAAAAATCAAGATAAAAAGATCATAGAAATCTCTAGAGACACTCAATTTGAAAATATTTCTACTAATATTAAAACAAGAAATACTGATTTAACATTTACTCCTGAAGTCCCAAAATCGGCACAAGAGGATCTTTTGGATATGTTACAGAATATGGAGTAAGAAATTTAAAAAAAAATCCTTTTTATACTATTTAATTTTTTTTATAGTTCATAGGGTCTTATTCTGGCATGAGGACTAAACTGACAACAATCTCTCTTTATTACTCTGTATTGAACATGATAAGGACAACAAGAATGAATATATAAAGTTAAAGTGTACAGAATCATTCTAGAAGCGGGCCCTGAAAATATAAAGCACATGTTAATGACCTTTAACTATAGGAGAGCAACGCACGTAAAGATACATTACAATGTTCAGATGTAAAATTCAATATTTTATTGTAGTGGCATCAGGCCCAAATTAATATTAGCAACTACTTATATAGGTTCTACTAGTATAGTACAGAACTAAGTATACACAATAGGTGTAAACAATTCAATAAGTAGTTTAAGGATCAAGTGTATACAATTCTTTCGAATAGTTTGAATTTTAATTGTTTCCCTACCATAGTATAGTATTTACCAATTATGAACGCGATTAACGCATTGTATTACTTTATTTTGCAATGATACAATAGTTCTTGCTTAGGGGGCCTGTATTTGGCATATATCTCTAAACATATTATAGTGCGGTCTTATCACGCTATTTAACGAATAAGAAAAGTTTAGAGAAGCGTGCCAAAAGTAAGCCATGTACTTATAAGCTGTCTGATAAGACAGCTTATAAGTACATGGCTATAGTAGTATTGAGATAAGGGATACCTTAGTTCAATAGGGATACTGTACGATGCAATGACCGTACATTCCGCGCGGTCAGCGGTTTACGCCCTCGGCGACAATTTTATTATAATTGTAAAATCAGTTCACAATCAGCAATCGACGTGTACTCATTGATCATTATATTTTAGCAATATTTTAACATAAGTTGACGTGTAACTTTACATATCAATAAACGGTTAAATATCATTTTTATCTATCATTTAATGTACGGGATCCGTACATTTATGGTCCTTCGAGCTTTTGACCTTTCGTGCGGGTCGGTCTAAAGCAGGATCATTCGCGCGTGAGGAGTATCAGTGACTATCAGGAATTGCAGTGCTGGCAAGCAAGGATCCAGTAGCTGTGCAGTACCGAGCAAGCGGTGAATCGAACTATAGTCAAGTAAGATCTTTCCAATTTTTTACAAATAAATATGGAAGATTTATTAGCAAATCAGGACCAGTTGGTCGGCGCCATGGAGCAGCTTTTCTCGTCTTTCAAGAAGACGGGACGCGGGCGTCGGACTGTCGAATATATCAAGACAAAGTTGGACACTTTAGATACATATTGGAGGAAGTATGAAACAAATCACGCTGTACTGAGTGAGTATTCAGATGCGGAAACTCCTTATTTCCGTGACAACCAATTTGAGCAGGCTTCTGATTTCTATAATAATGCAAAAATATACATACAAAAGTGCCAACCACCAACAGCAATTGCGAGCTGCAGCACAGGAGAGGGATTTCTTCCGACACCAAGCCCGACCATATCATCAGTCAAGGTAGGAAATCCTAATATTAAAACACAGGCAACTGACAGCAAGACTGCTGAACTGCTAAAGAAGCAAGCTAGCCAGTTTCGAGCATTCAGCCGTACGGTAGAGGATATGGATTTAGAAGCAGTCACGGAAAAATGGGAATTCGAGGACTTGTTGAGACAGCTAAATTCAAGGTGGGCAACTATTGATTCTTTGCATTTGGAAATTGATAGTGAGTTAAATGGCATGAATATAGAATATGAAAAGTCGTTTATAGCTAATGAAAAAACGTACAAATTCATGAAAAAAGCAATAAGTAGCAAGTTGTGGTCCGCATCTCATAGGGATAAATTTACTCCGCAAATGGAAATACCTACTTTTAGTGGCAATTACTACCAGTGGGTATCCTTTAAGGATTTATTCACAGAAACAATTCACAGTAACCCCTCACTTAACAATGCACAAAAAATGCAATTCTTGAAAAGCAAAGTGAGGGGGGAGGCTGAGAAATTGATACAGCATCTCTCAATCAATTCAGATAATTATCAAGTTTGCTGGGAATTGTTAAACAACCGATATCATAATAAAAGGCTTATATTTACGTCGCATGTAAACATTCTCTTAAATTTACCGCTTATGCAGCATCCTAATGTTACGCAGATCAAACGTATTCATGATACCACTAACGAATGCCTTAATTCTATAAAAAATCTGGGTGTTGACGTAAGCACCTGGGACCCTTTGTTGGTTCAAATTATGTCGCTGAAATTAGACTCTGACACCTACAATGATTACTTAGAGTCTCTGAAACAACCACGCGAACTGCCTACATTGAAGGAAATTTTAAATTTCCTGGAGATAAAATTTACAACTATGGAGTCATCGGCAACACGTAGAAAGCAAGAAAATGTATTCAAATCAAGTAATCCACCTTCGGTAGCGACGCAAAAATCAATCAAATTCTCTAACTATAAATCATTCTCCACCAACAAGGTTTCATCAAAAACAGTCAATCCAATTAACAAGAAAATAAATTATCAAAAGAATACTAAATCGTGTCCAATTTGCGCCGAGGAACACGGAATTTACTATTGTCAACAGTTTTTAAGTATGTCAGCGGACGCGAAAAGAAAAACAATTACAAAATATAATTTATGCAAAAATTGCTTATTCGATCATCATGGAAATAATTGTTTTTCTAGCAAAACGTGTCGTGAGTGCAATGGCCCGCACAACACGATTATGCACGAGGCGTTTGCAAACTCATCAAATGAAACCAAAAATATCAAGGTGAACCCTGGACCATCATCAAGTAGTTCGTATGTCTCACAGAAAAACGATAACAACGAGATTCTGATCACGACGGCTATTATTAACGTACAGGCCCGAGATGGAACATATCATAAAATGCGCGCTCTTTTAGATCAATGCTCACAAATGTCGTTAATAACTGAAAAAGCGGCGCAGCTTCTCCAGCTTAAAAGATCAAGGTGTAAGGATATCGTATCAGGCGTGGGACAAAAAGAAAGTATGTGCAAAGGAATTGTCAAATTAAATTGTACGCCAGTATTTAACAACGACTTTAAGTTTAATGTTGAAGCTTATATTATGAATAAAATAGTAAAAAATCTCCCAAGTAAAACGATGGCTAAGCAGAACTGGCCGCACTTGGAGGGTTTGGAATTAGCAGATAGTAACTTTAATATCAGTCGGCCCATCGATATCATATTAGGATCAGATATTTTCCCGGAACTTATATTAGACGGAGTCTGCAAGGGCCGTTCACCATCGATGCCTGTTGCGCAACGCACAGAACTCGGTTGGATAATCTGTGGAAGCAGCATGAAAATCAAGTCACAAAATCGACAATGTAATGTCATCATAAATAGCATGGACGATATTCAGCAATTTTGGGAGATGGAAGAGATCACAGAAGACAAAAAATTATCAGCAGAAGACATACAATGCATAACCTATTTCGAAAAAACGACCATGCGTATGCCCGATGGACGATATCAAGTACGTCTTCCTCTCAATCAAGAGTATGAGAAAAATGTAGGGTCTTCAAAATCAACAGCAGTTGCTCAATTTCACCAGTTAGAGCGAAAATTTAGAAAAAATAATAACTTGGCCCAAGATTATAAGTTATTTATGAATGAGTATATTGGCCTCGGTCATATGAAACCAGTATTATGTAACACGAAGCCCGATTATTATATGCCGCACCATTGTGTACTACGAGCAGACTCTGAAACAACAAAATTACGTGTCGTTTTTAATGCGTCTTCCAAAACTATTAATGGCTCAAGTTTGAACGATGTTATGTTGCGGGGTCCAAATTTACAAAAAGATCTCCAATCCTTAATATTGAAGTGGCGTCAGTATCAGATCGCTTTTACGGCTGATATCGAGAAAATGTACAGACAAATTTTGGTCCACGAGGAAGATCAAAAATTGCAAAAAATTGTTTGGAGAGACTCACCAAGCAAAGTTTTGAAAGACTATCAACTAGCAACAGTCACTTATGGCACGAAGGCAGCGCCATTTTTGGCCATGATGACGTTACAACAATTAGCAAAAGACGAAAAGAATAAGTATCAGGGAAGTGAAGCGATAAAAGCTTTGCAGGAATGTTTTTATATGGATGACATACTTCACGGAACCCACTGCGTACGGACAGCAAAAACTTTACAAAAGGAACTCGCAGATATATTAAGGTCAGGTGGTTTCAATCTTCGCAAGTGGGCATCAAATTCAATAGAGTTACTGAAGCAAATAGACCAAGAAGAGCCGGAGCAAGATGGCTATAACTTTAGAAGAGCAGAGTCAACAAAAACATTGGGGTTACGCTGGAACAGTAAACAAGATACCTTTTTGTTTGAAGCAAAAATGAAACCTAATATTATAAATCCTACGAAAAGATCTATGCTTTCGGACCTTTCAAAATTATTTGACCCGTTAGGATGGCTGTCGCCCCTTACGACTAAT